CACTCACGTATAAAGTTGTTCGTGATAGGGTTACGCAATCTCAACGATGCCGGGCGCGCCCTAAAGTCGAGCATGTTGTGCACATGAAAAAGTTTTTCCAGCGTTAGCGAACTCACGAAAAATATTTTGCGATGTGTATATTTGTTTTTTTCCTACACCACTTTTTTAAGAAAGCTTCCAGTTTCATTTGTATTGATTACTTTGTAGCATCGAAATGATGCTCTTTCATGGGGGAGAGCACTGCCACATGCGTTTATGTTGGTGCGCATTTCTTTGCGCCGCACCACCCTCAGCTATTGCATTTCAGCCACACCTATCGTCGTCGTACGACAGCTTACCACCCCCAGACAAACGGCCTCACGGAATGTTTCAACAAGACTCTTGCCGATATGCTCGCTATGAACGTGGACCGTACGCTGCTGTAAGGCCAGCAGAAATTTTCCTGGAGAGAGCACCCTCGATCTCAACTTTCTTACGCTTGGAGTAGGATGCTCGGCAATGTGTTTTCACGTTTGCCGGAATTTTCAGGGGTGTCACATCGGTTGTCTGAACGAATGAACGAACACGTTTAGCTCCTCAAAAAATTTTGTTCAGACTGAGATCCTTCCGGAGACTCTGCGACGACCTCTTTGAAGTAGTTGAAGCAGTTCTGGCAGAAATTATTGGTTTCTCTGATGGATGAGGCTTCTTCTGGCATGCACTTGCAGGGCCCCTTTAGCAACACTTTTTGAGCATGGCCAGAAAACGCTGTCAATCGGTAGTAGAAGCTCCCGACAACACGGGAGCCAAATATTATAACACAGCACGCAGCCTGGAATTCACAATAAATTACCAAAGTCAGCTAAAAATTGCTTTCTCTTCTCTCGAAAAATGGCGGAATATGCCCAAAAATCACGCGTGAATTACCCATGTATCAGTCATTGGCTGATTTGAACATAGTGCGCTCGCTCGTTACAGAGATCGCCGAGGAAGGCCGCGACTTGTCCACGGGTGCGCACGCGATCACACTGAAAAAGCAGGGCATTCAAAGAAAAAAAAGAAAAGAAGTGCTCAAGGCCACTAGGCGCGTGTCACGTTTTTCTGTGGCTCTGCCATCCCTCCCTGCTTAGCTTCCAGCACTTTCGTCGGGACGAGAGAAGAGAGAATGCAATTGCAGCATGAGACAAACCTTTGTAATTTCACTTGCACTAAACGGATTCTTAAAATTTTTGCGGCGTTGAATTCGTGAGGCAATAAGCTTTTCCAGTGAATTCATTTTGGGTTACTTAAATAAGCGTCTCAGGGGCCCCTTCAATAAGGCGACATTTAAATCTTTCACACATCGAAAGTTCCGCTTGTAGGCAATCTTCTTATGCCTCTTTAAGTAGTCAGCACAAAACACTCGCTTTGAGCTCCACAATGTAGCCGTGAATCTCAGAGGAGTGCTATATGCGCAAGTGTTCTCACATTCGTTGAATAGCAGATGACTGCCGGGTTATGGATGACGAATGTTAGTGAAAGTCAACGTTCTCAAATGACTGTGACCTTTTTGAAGCGAGTTCAGCCGTTTCCTTTTTGTGTTCTTTCTTTTTTAGAAAGCTGGCACAGGTGGTCGGGTAGCAGGCGCACCGCTTGTGCTGCTACGCACCTTCAGACCTTTTGCGTTATCAAATTACCGCCATGCCATGCGAAACGATAAACATCTAGCAGTGGATTCTCTAAAACCACACTCTCCCTGAGGTGAACGTAGGCTTGCATTCGCAAAAGACCTTGAAAGCTATTCTTGCGAAGAATGTGGCTCCGCATTATGGCATGCTCAGTGGCTGGGATTCATGTACAAGTTTTTGTGAAACGCGTAGAAAAATATAGTTGTAATTTTCTTTTCTACTCCCTGGTGCCTGACTCAGGCTAATATCAGGCTAACTATACCTGGCATCAAGAAAAAAGCAGATATGTCGTCGCCTGCTCTTAGACAGCTTGCTCTGCTCTTGTTATACGAGACGTATCAAGGCTGTATACACGTATACACCGACGGCTCTGTTTTACAGAAGAGTTCAACGGCATCATTTGTTATACCGATAAATGACACGACAAGAAAATTCAAGGCCTACCACCTTACGACATCAACGGGAGCAGAGCTCACAGCCCTTCGTGCCGCATTGCAATTTATCAGCGATCAACAGCCACAAAAATGGACAATTTTCAGTGACTCAAAGGCGGCACTGCAATCCCTTCTATCCCCTTTACGCCACGGCCCGTACGAACAGCTGGTATTTGAGATTGCAGAAAAGACTCACCAATTCATTGAGGAAGGACATGAAATAGCCTTTCAATGGCTGCCAAGTCATTGTGGAATAACTGGCAATGAACGGGCTGATCGAGCTGCCCGTTCTGCCCATACTGAAAGCGATGAAATATCAATTCCGCTTTCCAGAACTGACGCTGCACGGAAACTCCGCATGCTTGCTCGCAAGCGCATCACGTCGCAATGGAACGAGTCACATTTCTTCCATGCACGGTTAGGTACTTTAGACCCAACTCTCAGTCTTCGAATTCCTGTGGAATTACGCCGACGAGACGCTACTATGCTGTGCAGATTATGGTTGGGCGTCGCATTTACCAATGCGTACGCGTTCCGCGTAGGAATGGCTGACACTGCTGCATGCGACCATTGTGGCAGTGATGAAACAACTTGGCACATTCTGTGTGAATGCCCACAATACTGCTCGCAGAGACAGTCACTCTGTAATGAACTAGATGAACTGGACAACCAGCCTCTTTCGGAAGAAAGACTCCTGCGCTGCTGACAGGACTTTATGTCGCAGAAGAAGGCTATGAAGGCGCTCATGCACTTCTTGCGTTCAACCGGCCTGTCCAAACGACTGTGATCGGAACTCCCTGAATGTGTGCACATGTGTTTTTTTTTCTAATTTATTTTATATCTCTCTATAGCTATCCTCTTTCCGACCCTTTTCTCCACCCCCGTACAGGGTAGCAAACAAGTTCGTCTAGGTTAACCTCCCTGTCTCTTCCTTTTAATTATTTCTCTCTCTCTCTTCTTTTCGAAACCATCTGTTTCTGTTTTTTCAATCCGTCATTTATTAACATCCACAAAACACATTCATGGCCTAAAGATATTGATTATGGCAACTATTGCTTCCTGTTCACTCGATGCCGCAGGTAATCAGTTTATGCCATTTTTACCACTTTTCGTGCTTTGTAACTTCGTTTTCACAAGAATAATGCAACATGTTTTTGCAGCTTAAGGTAGAGTACGTGCTTGGGTTTAATTCCGAAGAGCTGGAAAAAAGATCGAAGATGGCTTTTTTTTAATGGTCTTCAAGATATTGCATTTTCAGAGATATGTCCTCAGCCAAATGTTTCTGCTTAACGTTTGACGTCGCTTCTCAACACTTATGTTCGACAAATTACATGTGCCAATGCTCTCCAAATTTTTGGGAAGTCTGACTTTTATACGCGCGGAGAAAAAAAATCCAAAAATTGAGTGATGTTAAATTGTGTGCCGATTTTACAAGTTTCTTTTGCTTAAAGTAACACTGCCAGAACGGCAAAGTAGTAATGGTTTTTCAATGAAAACTATTCTTAGTATGTGGCCTAAACGTTTTAGACCTACAGCTACAAAAGTTTTTTTGCGGGATCTCATCGAAATCCTTTTTTTGCAAAATTTGAAAGAAGGGGTAACAGCTCAATGGATACTAGTAAAGTTTTTTTAAGGTAAGATTTTTTGTGAAGCCAAAAGTGGTTTTGTGGTCCTGGGAACTCTGAAAACAAAATATATTTTTTCTGGCGAAATCGGAGGGGGTCGCCAGACATGCACCAACGTTTATCTGAACATAGCTTATAGATTGTCTCACTGTGTTGATTCCTTGTTTGTACGTGACTGCCAATAGTTCCACCTTTGCCAACTGCCCACTATTTCGTCCTTGCAAACGTCCCACAATGCCCTATCACCGATCCACCACTTCACCGACCATAAAGCCGTTATAATAAAGGGGGAACAGAAGCAACGTTTAGCTACCACTTATAATAAAATTTCTTGGGTAAATATATACAGTGTTTGTCACTTCTTTGATGATGTAGTGGGCGATATCGGGGATGGTGAACGGTTTAGCGATGAAGCCCTCCAGCACTTCATCCCTCTCATTATCATTCAATCTATGGATATCCTGCGATTTTTTGTTAGTTCTAGAGCTTTTTTAAATGTTGCTGTAAATCAGGAATACACAATGTGTATGTAACAACACAGCCGATTCAGTTAGTCGCTCTATTGTCACCCTTAGAAAGTCACACCTTTTTTAGATTCATGTGAAGAATTTAAATCAGCAATAAAAATAACGGACCTTGACAGGTTGCATTTGGCTAAAAAAAAAAATTCACCCTTAAAGGGTTAAGGAAAAGCCAGTAAAAAATTGAGCAGGGGAGTTATCTTTCTGTATATTTGCAAATTAGTTGTTCCTGAACAGGTGCAACAACATTTATATGGAATATTTTTTCTAGTTGCAATATAAAAAGTATATTCAGCAATCTTATTTTATTTCCAAGCTTGGCATTCTGACAAAATTTTCTAATGTACTCTGTATGGCTTAGATCAATATCGTGCTAATTCGAGACATGTAGTGCATATGTTTAAAATTTTTAATGCATGTTGCTTTTTAGCTTTAACACCCTGTGTATATTTGTCTCTATAATACACACATATATGCACTATATCTTTTCACATATAACTAGCATCCCTAACTTTAATTGTATACAAAGAAAAAAAATTTAGCATGCATATAACGCACAGCCTCTTTTTTTATGTGAATCTTTCTGTTTTTTGGCGCCAATTATATGTAAAAAAATATGGTATATAAAGAGTTTTTCTATTTGCGGGGCTCCTAAGTAGACATGTATGGCCTCTCGAACTTCCGTTTCAATATAGTATTGCTCTTGAACTTGTTCTTGTCTTGTTTAAAAGTTGCAGCCCGCATCGGTCTACAAGGTTGTTTTTTTCCCCATAGGCCACACAGCGGTGTGGCTGTGCAGGCATCCCTCCCATTGGAAAGGGTGTCGCATCGGCCACGGCGGCCACCGCCATACGATGAGGCAGTCACACGGCTCGCGGCTGGTACGCACCACTTGTTGCCTTCTCGAGGGGGGGACCCACCTCTTCAGGGCCTGGGGGACTCGCCCAGCAAGCAGCAGCCACCCGACGACTACTCGGAACTGCTTCGGGTGGTCAGCCTTCAGAGAGAGCACCTGCACAAGGTGCATGAGGAACTGGCCCAGAAGGATGCTGGTGAGCCACACGGTTTTATTCATGTATTCACCAGTCCTTCGGCTTGTCGAGGAACGAAAAGTTGCAAATAAGTGCACTATTTATTGATTTACTCTCGTACCCACAGCACCATTCAGGCATTACAGTGAGGGAGGGAGAGGGGGTATACAGCGCAGTTTGACAACCGATAGTAGTCCATAACAAGGAAGGCATTGCAGCAAAAGGCATGAAAAATATGCCATACATACGAACTAAATTTGTTATATATGAACATCATCAGCAACAACTACAAAAAAAGAACACATTAAAGAGCGCTAAGCAAAAGCAGTGAAAAAGCAGAACTGGTCAGGCAGCCAGTTGTGCGTTGCATGGTGGGCATTGTTTATGAAATTTCGTTGAGCTGTGGCAAGTTGTTCGTAGGCCATACAGGGAGCATATATTATTGATTAAGATTGGCGTGGGCTCAACCTCGCCGTTTCGTTGTGCTTCAGTGCGGCTGCACACCACTGTTCCGAAAAACTCGTGTGATAGGACAAAGCAGGGAAACGTTAGTACGTGAAGTACTTGAGGCATATCGCAAACAAAGGAAGGGGAACAAATGCGTCAGAGTCCGTCGATCACTTTGTATAGCCCTGTGCGATAGCTTTCTTTTGTTTTGTGTGTGCAATGTGATAGTCGCTTGTGCTGCGCCCCCCCTTTTTGCACTTTCTGGAAGCATATCTATTTGGGTAATGTGTGGAAAATTGTAAAGTGTGTTAAAAGTCTGGCACCCTATACTGTCCGCTTCTTTTGCCCTTGCATCAGTTGTGCCACAAATATTTATTAAGTTATTTTCTTTTTCACTTTCGAACCTTCACGAAAAGAAAGATTAGAAGCTGCTGCTGCTGAAGAGCTGGGAAGTAGTACCAATCTTATTAAATAGCGCTCAATTTTTCCCAGCGATTGTTCCGAGTTAACACGTTATTACTGTACTCGTTAGAGATATTGGTCTATAGTTGGTGATCAGTTCATCAGGGGCAAACTTAATACACAGGCACAGCACATGCCATCGTCCAGTTGTGCTCAATGATTTCAAAGATAGTGCCTTCAGAAACGGTAGGATGAATGGTGTGGTCTATTTGCGGAAACTGCCTGTCAGTCCATCCGGTCCTCTCTCTCTGCTGGCATCTAAGCGTTCGAGGAGAGTCTGAAATACTGTTTTCCTTAATAACCAAGTCATCCATGTTGGCCATGCTTCTGTCAGTAGATTAAGGGAGAATCCTCTTTTAGGAACACGATGAGAAAATGGAGGCAAAAAATGTATTGAAGCAGTTTTCCATATCAAGGCTATTTTCTATTTCTTTTCCGTTATGCTGTAGTGAGGGAATACATACTGTTGTTTTTTATCACATTTGACACGATTCCAGAAAAACTTTCTCGTTATGAATCGAGAATTCAAATCACAGTCTTCTTTCACCTGACGCAATTTTGTATGTTTCAAGTTGCTCACAAGTCTCAGAACTTAGCTTTCTTTTAAATCTTGTATGTAACCTGTTCCGTTTGCTAGCAGGGCACTTCAGCTTACTATTAAACAATAGCTTAGATTTAATACCACGTGGGCTTTGTAACCATGAAGGCACATAATTTTCTTGCAGGTCAAGTATCTTCGTTCTAAAGAGCAGCCATAATTTTTCAAAAGTGCTACGTGCTGCGAAAAATTGTTTGAATTCTTAGTTTGAAATTGTTTGAAAGCAAGGCCTGCTTCATTTACGTTCCCTTGGCTGTAATTATACATCGTGCTTAATACCGATGTTTGCGTCTTTGCATATCTTCGCTTCATTTTACACAACACAGCTTTATGATTGCTGATGCCAGGGACCCACCCCCTGAATTGTCTTTATCCAATTTTGTTGATAAGTTTAAAAAAATAATTAAGATACCGTATTTACTTGATTCTAGCGCGCCCTCGATTGTAACGCGCACCCGATTTCCACCGCGAAAAAAAAAAAAAACGTAAGACATCGATTGCAACACGCACCCATTTTTCTCGCTGGCCCGCACGATCACACCACTCGAAAAAAACGACTCCTTTCGGGAGCATCTTCCATTTAAATATAAGGTACGGCCGAAGCTTGTGTCCATCTGACGTGTAACAGAGCATTGCCGTCACTGTGGTTTTACCGTGGACCGATGTCAGCACGCGAACTTGCTTCGCCCCCTTCTTCTCGACGGTTGTGGTGCCAGGCATGTCGAAGTAAAGAGGCGTCTGATCGGCATTCCCGATTTGCCCAAGCAGGTAGCCGTTGTTGCGCCGCAAGTTTAGGACGAACCTCTGAAAACTGAGAAGCTTTTCATCGTACTCCACCGCAAAACTTTTCGCATATGCATGTTCCCTTTCGGAGGGAAAAGCCTTTCCTCTTCATAAAGTTAGTTAGCTAGCACCTGCTCGCTTTAAACTGGCTCTGCATTAGACCTTTTTCTAAGACTAATTGCATAGCCCGTACTTGGAGCAGTTCTGTCGTCACGGGCCGCTGTGCCGCTCGCTGCTCAAGCACATACTCGCCGAGCAGCTCTTTATTTACGGAAACCGACCCTGCTGTGGTCCACTGAAGCCTTTGCGTGAAGCTTTGCTGTCGACAATCTTCTGCTTTTGTTTCCGCCGGTCCCGCACGCACGTTTCGGGAACTCCGAACGACCGCGATGCGGCCCGATTTCCGTCCGTTTCTGCACACGCGATGACTTTTTTTTTAAAAGCGGCATCGTGGCGCACTCGAGTTTTTGGAGTCGGCCCTTCCACGCCGTCGATGCTAATGCACTACTAGATGACGAACTCCTCAGCACACGTACGAAGTGCCGCACATGGGAAACACATAGGCAGAAATGGCGACGCACGTAGGGGGCGGCCATTTTGGATTTGCCGATGACAATAGATTGACCGTAATGTTTTTGTTCGTACTCGATTCTAACGCGCATGCGACTTATGAACTCGCTTAACCGGAAAAAAGGTGCGCGATGATTTGAGTAATTACGATATTTTTTCTCGTGCACTGAGTTACCATCTGAGCTAATGAAAAATTTTTTAAATCATGATGAAGTCCAGGGTCTGACGGGATCCCATCTGGTCGGAAGGAGGCAATGCAAAAGAAGATGAAATGCTGACCACAATTAAAACACTTTAAAACAACAACAAGACGTTTCTGCTCCCATGTGGAAGCCTTATTCACAATGAAGTTCAAAAGTGTGACTAGCTAAATACGTTCAGTGTGAAAAAGGCTCCTTGGGTAGCCGGAACGTCTTGTTTTTATTTAAATTATTTTTATTGGGGTCAGTGTTTCGTCTTCCTTTGCTATCAGTTAAATAAGTTCAACATTTTTATCTCCACTAGAGACATAGCTGTCGCGTTAGAAGACTGCTCATTCCAAGAAAATTCAGTAGTATTGAAGTCCGCAGCTATCACAAGATAATTGGTTGTGACAGTTGTAGAACTTAGAGGAGGTCTAGAAAATGAACAATATTTTTCCATTTTACAATCTGATTTTGCACAATACATGTTGGCGAGGGTTGCCACCAGTATCACGTGCAGAAGAAGAAAGTTACCTGTGAGCATGCATGAAGAGCCCACCACCCCGACAGTTTCTATCATATTTAAAGCAGCTTTGAAAAATGTTTGTTACGTCATCATTTAGCTATTATTCCATTCCAAGCGTGATGACAGGTTTTATCATGCATACCAGGCTTTCGCTTTGTTTTTAATTCTTTTGCAATTGACGACAATAAAAGTTACATCTACTATGCAGATGTTGAACAACCTTGCCACTAAAGAACAGGCGGGAAAAAAAAGGCAGAAATGTTACCAGTCTAGGAGGACTGGTATGCTTCCCTACACTGGGGGACAGGGATGAACGAGCTTCAAAGATGGAGAGGAGAAAGGAGCACTCAAAGTCGCTCAGTCATCATATAACACTATTAGTCTATAACGAGTGGTTCATGTCTTTTGCCTTCAAAAAGCTGAGGGCTGCTTTCGTCGTCTTCACCCGCAATGATCTCTCTGGACAACATTCTAGAATGATTTCTGCCATCATCGGTCTGCGATCTATGCGAGCTAGCGCAACTGCAAGTGATTTTCTCTGTGCATTGCAGTGAGGACAGTCGCAGAAGATATGCTGAAGTGTCTCCTCACCACTACTGTTTTCACAGAAGGGGTTGTCAGCCAACCTGGCCACTGCTCCTATCATATACTTATGTTCCCTATTTAAAGGGACTGTCTATCGTCTTTCTTTGCTCTACTGTTTTGTGTCGCAATAAAAAGCATACCATGTGAAGTGTCTAACCTTGCAACGGTTTCTCTGGAAAGTGCGTAGAAATTTTTAAAACAGAACTTTCCTGTCCCGGTTATGTCTCCTTTCATCGGTGGGATGAATGCCCACATCACTGGTTGGTGCTGGTGATAGTCGAAAACTGGAACCGCAGGCAGTTTTCGCAGGCTTATGAAGTTTGGTTATTAATAAAACAAATACCTTAGTGGTCGTTTTAGGCACACACATGCTTTTTTGTTGTTTTCTTGAGTGCCGGCGGATGCCGTGGTCGCGTTTCTCTGCCGTTTGCAAGCAGGCATGCAGGCAAGCGAACACACCGCCGGCAGCGCCACCATGCGCCTATTCGAACGTGTGAGAAAAAACAAAAACGAAAATTTGTCTCTGGTGCAACCTAAAGCTGCCTCATGTGCATAAAATACAATTTCAAGTTGAACGTGTTTGTTTTTAAGCAAAATACGTCTACCTGTGAGGATTTCTTGTTCTACCTATAGATTGTCAAGATTGACCACATTCGCTGTTGGGTGACGCTAGTGGTCACTTTTTATCTATTTTCAACATCAAGTTAAAATTATAATTCCTTTTTCTGGCACGAAAGCATGCTCATTGCCATCGATGTGATGAACGATCTTTTCATTTGCGCCACAGTCAGACAAATTTTTCCGAGCGGTAGACAGTCTCTTTAAGAATAGCTTATCATATTTCATATTTACGCTAGTAACATCACAA